CATTATATTATTATAATATAAATAATTATAATAATTTTACCATAGCAGGTAGATTGGTGGAAACGGGAATCGAACCTTTTTTAAATTGGCGGAAAMGGGCGATGGCGGAATCGGTCACTTCAAATTTTGGCGGAAACGGTACATGCCCGACATAATATAAGATAATCGTAATCTAAATTATTTTTCATATGGCAGAATGCGAGCAAGACATTTTTATTGTTATCTTAAAAACACTATCGAAACAAATTTAGTTTTGGCTTTTAAAAAAAAAATTCACAGCCACTCCGTGGACCCCGGAGTAATCATCTACGGACCCCCGGTTAAGAACCTATGTGTTAAACCCTTATTTAAACTACTACGAAAATCTTTATTTTTTTTAATGATCCAAATCGGCAGGAGTGGCTCTTTCACAAAACTTTTTAACAAAAATTATTATTAGTTTATAATATTCTATATTCTAATAGTATTCCCGTAGTCCGTACAGAAATGTGTGCTACGCAATTTTGAATTCATGTTTTGAACATAATAAAATAATAATATCATAGTATCATACCGTGGGATATTTTATATTAATATAGTTTATTTATAGCCTTATAAAGTTATAAGTCATAGGTTCTTCATAATATAGATATCAGATTCAATTTATATACCGTCATACCTTTATGACTATCTGGTATCTACATACGTGTCGTATATAACAGCCAATATTACCTATACCTAATATTCTTTTCTTATTTGTATTTTTTTTTTTTTAACAATAAATATTTTTTTATAAATACGGCCTTAGAGGGCGCAGCCCCTAGGGCCCCCTCCCTGGAGCCGTCCCTGAAAATCGATAGAGCTGTTCTCACGCATGACATACAATTATCTATTCACTATTGTAATTCGTTTGAACAATAACGTACCCATATGTAATGTTATTAGTTTTATTATGTGTAAAATTTTGTACACCTCTCGCCCCCTGAAATTCCTTGCTACGAGCCTGCGTAGGTATACGCTATATTATTAAACCACATTATAATAATTTGTGTGTAATTGTTAACAGGTGTAATTATCTAAAAAGTGTATAAGTATCAGTGTATCATACGCCGCCATGAGTATAAAATACTAGGTAACATTTTTATATTAAAATTGAAGATATTTCATTTTTTTATTATTTATAAAATCTAGTAATTGGTGATTGTGCAGTAAGTATTATTTAAAAATAATTCAAACAAACACTAAACCTATTTATAAAAGCTATTTTAGATTGTATTATGTTAGTATATAAATAATTAAATATTATAWAGTGTGATAATGACCAAAAGTTTTTACGAAATGTGTTTTTAGATGTTGAATTAAAAATTATTAGTAATAATTATTAAATATAAGCACGTAGTTTTGTTTGGTCAAGAAAAAACTCAAGATTATTATTTACAATTAATTAGCAGGTATTATCTTTATAATAGTACTACGTGCAGGAAGTTAAAAATCTATAATGAAAATKAAAACACTTGTTAAAGTGCTTAAGTTAATCGGATTTAACTAACTCCGTTGTAGTTAAAAGCTACATGCCCAACAATTTACCCTTCAACCTCATGTACCTCTATCTCATTTACTTTTAATTGGACAATATTTCACCAATTATATGTACCCTTTTTACACATAATGTGCTATAATACCATACTCAAATATATAAATTATACCTTATATTAAGTGAATTTTATTTACCAGAGTAAATTACATTTTTTCACAGTTTTGTTATATTTATTGCTATAAAGTAAATTCTGTTAACATCGCAAAAAAATATTTCTTTTTTTTAT